GTTAATCAAATTTTGTGGCTCTCTCTAAAAAATTCATTTTGATCTTCGACTCTCAGTCTGGTTAGCGGCTTGCTAAAAACTGAGTCATATTGGGACTTGAGTAGCTCACTCATTTCCTTGTTGTCATCTGTGTAGGACCCATCTTGTTTAAGTAGGGGCCCAATACTGGACGTTGTTCTCGATTTTGATTTGGCATAGGAGAAGAAATACTTTGGGTTTCTTTCGATTTCATTTATGGCTTTTAGTTCTTCCCGCGATTCCTGACTCCTAAAGGATTCTTTTAGCTTAAGTTCGATGCTTGCTATTTCTCTGACCAGTGTCTCCCTACACATTTCAGATATATTGACCTCTTTTAGCCGCTCTGTTATTCTTTTCCGTCGCCTGTAAAGGGAGCGCCTGTCTCTTTCTGTTTTACATCTACTCCTCCTTTTTCTTAGAGGAATAAGCCTTGTGCATACATCGAGTGCTAACGAGTTAATCTGTTCTAGGCATAAGTTGGGGTCTGTGTTGCTTAGTATATCTTCCCAGCTTATATCGGTTAGGACTTGGTTTACTTGGTCCCACTTTATGTTTTTGTTATTGAAGTTGAATTTGGTGAATGCTCCCTCGTGACTAATCTCATTATGTCGGTCTGGGGCTCCGCGCATACATGACTGAACCTCAATTATGTTGTGATCTGAGTATATGTTTTTTTGATATGGTGATATTTCTTATCAGATCATCATTGTTAGTGAAGATGAGGTCTAGTGTATTCTCCAGTCTAGTAGGCTCTATTATTTGCTGGTTTAAATTGAATTTTGTGCAGAGATTTAAAAGCTCGCGTGAGTGTGAGTTTTCATCAGAGCTGCCTCCTGGTGTTATTACTGCAACAATATTATTTGCTATATTCCTCCATTTTAGGTGCCTTAAGTTGAAATCCCCCAGGAGCAAGATGTTGGGTGCAGGAGCTGGAAGGTTTTCCAGACAGTGGTCAATTTTTAACAGCTGTTCCTGGAATTGCTGGGATGTTGCATCCGGAGGCTTGTAGACTATCACAATGACTAGGTTTTGTTCTCGACCTTTACTGCTAAAACTTCCACTACATCATTTGAGGCATTTAGCAGTTCTGTGCAAACAAGTGACTCTGCAATGTACAGGCCAACCCCCCCCTTTTGCCTGTTCACTCTGTCACATCTGTATAGGTTGTAACCTGGGATCCATATTTCGTTGTCCAAGTGATCCTTGATGTGGGTCTCAGTGAAAGCCGCGAACATTGCCTTTGCCTCTGCAAGCAGTCCACGGATGAAAGGTATTTTGTTGTTTGTTGCTGGCTTTAGACCCTGTATATTTGCAAAGAAGAATGTTATCGGACTGGTGGTATTGTTGGTACTGGGGGGGGATTTTTTTTCCGGCATTAGTATCTGTATCTGTTGGTTTGGAGTGGAGGCCATCGACTGTGGTTCCACTCCAGAATGACTGGATTTGGTGTACGATTTCTGCCATTTCCTGCCAGTTTTTTTTCCTTCCTGGCACTAAAAAACCTCTCCCTCTTGAGTGGCTGTGGCTACCCAGGTTTTCCCATGGCCTGGATGTTTTGTATCTTTTTGTCCCCTTTAGATGGTATGCCTGGCAATTTAAGTTATAGCACAGTCTTTCCTGTACTGAAGAGGTACACAGTTCAGGGTGAAAAAGCTTACAGGAAGGGAGTTTGCATTTTCCTGTTGTCATATGGGCATGGCATTTCCTAGGGTGGTCATAGTTTGCACGTCCTATCTGTTTTTCCAGATTTCCCATGCCAGCAGATACCGAGTGCATAGTATGTGCACAGGCTTGGTTTCCGTTTGCCTTGGGTTTCTGTGACTGTATTCCCTGTTGGTGCATGTTTCCCTGTCTTACTTCTATCCTCCCTAGCACCAACAATGGAGCTCCCACCATTTGTTTTTGGTAATATATCCTCACTATTGCTAGTGGAGTCCTCTTGTTTGCTATTTCCTGCGGTATTTCTAGTTTGCAATATTGGTTTTATCTTATCTTTGACTACACTTGTTTCCCTACTATGGCTCCTGTCCCCTATGAGGTCATTCATATGTATTCCTTCCTGCGTATAATTCCCGACTACCTGGACAAAATCTCCAGCTTCACCATTACTGTCTCCCAGGACAGCATCTCCAGCTTCCCCATTACTGTCTCCCAGGACAGCATCTCCAGCTTCACCATTCTGTCTCCCAGGACAGCACCTCCAGCTTCACCATTACTGTCTCCCAGGACAGCACCTCCAGCTTCCCCATTACTGTCTCCCAGGACAGCACTATCAGCCCCCCATTTACTGACTACCAGGACATCATCTCCAGCCTTACAGTTTCTGACTACATGGCCAGTATCAAGGGCAGTACCATTCAGCCCAGACTTTTTATGTTCCCATCTGTTGTAGAAAGCTTCCAGGTTTTCTATGAAAGCAGCTTTGATGTTGACCTCTTTTAATACCCTTGTGATTTTAGTCCACAGATTTATCTCATTTGGGCATACCCAAAAACACTTCCCTGTTTTAATACTGCTTGTAGCTAGTTCTTGGATATCTGCACAAGGGGCGTGACACCAATTTCCACAGAAATGACAATTTATGCATGTGGAAGCCCGTTTGTTTGACTGACCACAGACTACACACAGCTTCATAATGATTTGAATGGTTGATTTACTGCAATTCTACTAGCAACCTCTTGAATATTCTATTAATAACCTGCTAGGTGGTGCACAATGAAACCGTTTGAAACCAGTCCAGGGTCCGGACCAGTCAAGGGTTCGGACCAGTCAAGGGTTCGGACCAGTCAAGGGTTCGGACCAGTCTATCTGATCTGATCAGTGGGTCACTTATTTAAGATCCATTAAGATCTGAGGCCGATGAGTGAGGATTAACACACGGGTATTTCCCCTGGACACACACCATGGCCGCGCACCAGTCACACCCGGCCGAACCATTATTCACTAATTTTACCACCTTTTTACTGTGGTCCCGTAAATCACGTTCCCTCACTCTTCACCAGGAACAGTTACGACACCCTATTATGAAGTGAGGCCCATATTAATCCTTAGGCCGCCGTGAACGCCACTTTCCTGGTTCCATGCTTTCCCAGCCTCCTCACTACCTTCAAAACACTCCCGCCTCCCCCATGGCCCAAGTCGACCTCTCCCCCCGCACATCCGCGCATGCGCAAAGGGAACTCTTGGTTCTATCCTATTGTCAAATATATTTTTGACTCATATCGACACATTAAACACCTATTAGGCACTATAGTTTCGGAAAATCAAAAAATTTCCACAATTCCCATCCTCGTCCCACACATTCTCCTTCAGTCTCATGATTAGATACCTTTTACCTTCAATTTTATATTTACCACACATTTTTCTTACTTCATTCAAACTGAGTTTTTGGGGGGTTATCCTAGCTAATTTACACATATGTTACTAGGTATGATAATGGTACTTATGAATACCTGCAACTAAATAAATTTACTAAACTCGTCACCTTCCCAGTTTAATTGCATATGTTTTTAAATACATATAAACTTTACGTATTCCATAAAACTAAACAATCATAGTATTGCTCAATATTATACACTGATCACAACACTCCCATCTCCTTCAAACTTGTTTGACTCTGACTCACAAAATCGTAATAATACAATTGCAAACAAACCGAAGTACAGTGGAGCTCTAACTCAGAGCAAGAAAGCCATAAAACTTATGCACTCGAGCTTTATGACTCATTTGCAGTGAGTTTGAGCCCCACCCGTGTCGTAGTTTGCTTGACTGTTACTTGTCTTACCCCTTCTCTACCATCCTGCACATCCCCCCTAACCCCCCACCTTCCCCACCACACTCTCCACAACTAACCACCCACCCACCTTCCCATACACTCTACCCACTTATCCATCCACCCAACACGTGACTGTACTGACTGGGACCCCAAAAGAGGCAACCATAATGGGTAAAGTGATCCTTAAGTTCACCTGGGACACCTCTCAACATGACGACCACAGCAGAAGAAGAAACTGCTCTGGGGAGGATCGTACAGATGTAAGTGGACCCCCGGTTAACGATATTTTTTCACTCCAGAAGTATGTTCAGGTGCCAGTACTGACCGAATTTGTTCCCATAAGAAATATTGTGAAGTAGATTAGTCCATTTCAGACCCCCAAACATACACGTACAAACGCACTTACATAAATACACTTACATAATTGGTCACATTCGGATGTAATCGTTATGCAGGGGTCCACTGTATTTATTACTACTATTGTCACCCGTGCATCCAAATCCAGTAACTTCCTATAATAAGACTTGGATAAAGTGAGCATATGGAAAGGAGATTGATGATGGAATTTAGTGTATACAAGTAACTCAATGCAAATGGTAGAAAACAGTGAAATATAAGAAATAAAATGTCATGAAATAGTGAAGCAGATAAAGGAACCTAAAGCCATAGTGGTCATGCAGGTCGTCAGGTTGCTTCAGAGGAAATGAAAAGGAGCTCGAAATCCTTGGATCAAGAAAATTCTGTGTCACCTGTAAGTCGTTAATTTTTTAATCATCTATGAAGAAATGTCGTCGGTATAAATAAAAACATAAAAGCTTCCCTCCCCTTCCTCGTATCAAACCTGATTATAATAATAATAATAATAATAATAATAATAATAATAATAATAATAATAATAATAATAATAATTATTATTATTATTATTATTATTATATTATTATTATTATTATTATATTATTATTATTATTATTATTATTATTATTATTTATTATTATATTATTATTATTATTATTATTGAGGGGAAAAGAATGTCTCTGTAGGTTTTACGTAATTATCAGGTTTGTAATGGCATTGTAAGCGAAGGAAATACTAGCACCAATAGATGGATCGATCAATGGGATCACCTAGGGAAGCAGAGCCTTGGGCCACACTGAAAGTCAGAAAACTCTGGAGACCTGTTAAAGGTAGATCACATGTCGATGCTTACTGTTTGCTTGTTCTGTCCGTTTTTTGGACTTCTTGATGAGGCCGCTGCTGCTCTCTCGCCGCCTCTGTCACTCTTCCTCCTCCCTCTTCATTTTCTGCTGTTCCTGGCGTTTCCTCTCCCACATAATGTCTCTCATCTGACACTTTGTATGAGCCTCGTTCATGCATCTTCAACGCCTCAGCCAGACGATGCATCTTCCATAAACTACTGTGGTGGAGAGGGTGAAGGAGGAAGGTCGTGGTGGTGAGGGTGAAGGAGGAAGGTCGTGGTGGTGAGGGTGAAGGAGGAAGGTCGTGGTGGTGAGGGTGAAGGAGGAAGGTCGTGGTGGTGAGGGTGAAGGAGGAAGGTCGTGGTGGTGAGGGTGAAGGAGGAAGGTCGTGGTGGTGAGGGTGAAGGAGGAAGGTCGTGGTGGTGAGGGTGAAGGAGGAAGGTCGTGGTGGTGAGGGAGCTTCAAGAGTGGTTGCAGATCTCGAAGACTGTCGTCAGCTCCACCACAAACTGGAATGTCGCAGAAACACACAAGACAGCGTACGAAGGACGTCGTATAGAGTTCTTGATTTAGAGTGATCTATCCAGCCAGGCTAAACTCCTAGGAAGGAGCCTTAGTGCTGGCGAAGGTGCTTGATGAGAAGAACTGGAGCTGCCCTTCCTCTTCCTAGGATCAAACTAGATTACCTGACGTTTCCCAAGCAGTGTCTGATTCCTTTGCATTTAGCACTTCTCTGTAATAATAATAATAATAATATAATAATAATAATAATAATAATAATAATAATAATAATAATAATAATAATAATAAAAAAAATGACAGCAATAATAATAATAATAATAACAATAATAATAATAATAATAATAATAATAATAATAATAATAATATATAATAATAATAATAATAATAATAAAGATAATAATAATAAAATAATAATAATAATAATCTCGATAGAACATATCACAAGTAAGAGTCTTAAGTCGGATAACATTTATTGTTACAGTTATTATGCTGAATAGGAAGCACTAAACCCGTAGCCGGTTGGGGTCATACAATACCTTGGGAATAGTGGGTAATGAATGGGGGTTCGATACGAGGAAGGTGAGGATTGCTCTAGTTCCTTGGTTCTAGAACCCTTCATCAATTCCCCCAGCTGAAGTTTTTATTGTAAGTTATAGTTATAGTGTAAGTTATGTGTATGAAGTGTATATGATGTGTAGATGCAAGACCATCGACTGGTGGTGTACAGGTGGAATGCCGTCCTCGTCAGTGGTCTCGAGTGGCCATACTATCCTGGGCTGCTTTGGGGATTAGTGTGGAAGGTTAAAAAGCCATGGCTTGCTTCTGCAGTGTTTTAAAATCTGAGGTTAGAGTGTTGAAGAAGGAGGTCCTACTTATCCAGGAGGAAATAAGGAGGCTGAAGGATTACCTGATAGATTTGGAGTGAGTGTGAGGTGGCTGGAGTGGGTGAGGGAAATGAGGCTACCGGCAGTGAGAAGCATTCTGTCACTTGCTGCGAGGTGTTTGAAGGTGGTGCAGACGAAAAGGCTACAAGCAGTGAGCAGCAGTCCAGGATCTGCTACAACTGGCAAGTAATTCCCAGCAATGGGAAGGGTATCAAAATAAGGAAAGTTGAGAAAGAAAATCTGAAGGTAGGAAATCTCTGTTCTCCGGGGACGAGTGTACTTCAGTGGTCAGTGAAGGTAAAGGTACTATATCCCTGCTAAGAGTGGTAAGCGCATTCTTGTGGTTGGTGACTCACAGGTAAGATACATGGACCGTGCTTTCTGTAACAGAGATAAGAAGGTGAGACAGAGAGTGCGCTTCCCAGGAGCTTGCTGACATAGTCAGCAGGTTGGAATAATATCATGTCAGGTAATGGGAACAAGTCATCCGTTTCAGTGCTGATGGAAATGATATTGGGAAGGGTAGGAGAGAGGAGCTTCTAGAAAAGTACAGGTCAGCTATAGATTTAATTAGGTCTAAGGGAGGGATCTCTGATCATATGTAGCATCTTGCCTAGAAGAGGAATGGGCAATGAATGGTTGTCTAGGGCAATTGGTGTAAATTGCTGGCTAGACAGATACTGCAAGGAACTTACAATCCTATTCATTGACAAGTGGGACAACTTCTATGGCAAACATGATATGCATGTAAGAGATGGGGGTGCATCTCTCTGGGGCAGGTGTGGTAGCATTAGCCAACTCGATCGAGAGGGCCATTGCTGACCTGTCTAGGATTTTAAACTGATAGAAGATAGAGGTATGGGTATGTGTGGAAATAAACAGGTTGCAGTACGTGGGATGAAAACAGCAGATATTACCAGGATACCTCAGGGATATGTTTAAAAGACATTATTCATCATAAAGCTACAAATAAGACAATGTAACTGGTCAGCAAACAAAGGGAGACAGCAGAGGGCGGTGTGAGACTAGATCTCTTAAGGTTTACTATACTAATAGTAGAAGTGTAAGAAATAAGATAGATGAGCTAAGATTAATTGCAAGTGCAGGAACCATAGATATTATTGCTATAACGGAGAGATGGTTCAATCTGAAAGACAGAGAAATACCTTGTGAATGCCACATACAAGGCTATAAATTATTCAACACTGATAGAGCCAACAGGAAGGGTGGTGGAATGGCGATGTATGTCAAAAATAATTTAAATTGTTGCATTAGACAATATATAAAATTAGAAGAGGTGACCACTGAATCTGTGTGGATACAGCTTCTCGAGGGTTGTGAAAAACTAATCTTGGGTGTGATTTACAGGCCCCCAAACCTTGATAGTGAGTGCAGTAAGCTTTTATCGGACGAAATTCGTAAGGCATCTACATATGAAAATGTTGTGCTAATGTGAGATTTTAACTTTAGACAAATTGATTAGAGAAATTTGACAGGAAATTTTGAGTCAAGCAGCTTTCTTGATACGATTCAGAATTGTTTTTTAAAACAGTTTGTGACAGAACCAACTAGAGGTAATAACCTGCTTGACTTGATTCTTGTCAGCATGGAATCACTAATTAATAATCTTGAGGTTGGGGACAGTGATCATAAATCAGTCAGTTTTAATATATCATGGAATTACCCTAATAATTGCAATCAAGTCTTTGTCCCTGACTTCCGCTTGGTGGTTGATTTCATAGGACTGAGAGATTACCTGGGTGGGCTGAACTGCAATGATCTGATTATGGGTCACATAAGGGATGATGGTTGTCGATATGAGCATAGTTCTAACTGCTCAGACAACTTATGTTCCGAATAAGGAAATTAGATCGAACAAAAATGATTCTTAATGGATAAACTATGGATTAAAACATCTAATTGGCCAAAAGAAAGGCATGTATAGGCGAATCAAATAAGGAGAGGGGAGTTAAGAAATCAATATATTCAGTTAAAGAAATAAATAAAAAAGGGAATAAGAAAACAAAAAGAGATTATGAGGTTAAAGTTGCAAGGGAATCGAATACTAACCCACAAGGATTCTTTCAGGTATACAGAAGTAAGATTAGGGACAGGATAAGTCCACTCTAAGGTTACTCAGGTCAGTTCACCGACAGCGATAAGGAAATGTGCAAAATTTTTAACACTTACTTCCTCTCAGTTTTTACACAGGAAGATAACAGTGATATTACAGAAATAAGAAATTATGTTAAACAGGACGAAAATAAACTATGTGCGATTAGGGTTACAAGTACATGGTCCTTAGACAAATAGATAAATTAAAACGTAGCAAATCCCCAGGCCCTGATGAACTGTTTGCAAGGGTTTTAAAGGAAAGTGAAGAGGAACTTAGCATACCTTTGGCTAATCTTTTCAACATATCACTACAAACTTGCATAGTGCCAGAAAATGGCAGGTGACAGGTCCTTAGCTTCGAACTATAGACCAATAAGCCTAACCTTCATAGTGAGAAAATAAATGGAATCAATTTTTGCAGAGGCAGTTCGTAGCCATCTAGAGAGGCATAAAGTGATTAATAAATCTTACCACGGTTTTACAAAGAGGCATTCCTGCCTTACGAATTTAATAAGTTTTTCACTAAGGTATTTGAAGAGATAGATCATGGTAATGATTATGGTATTGTGTATATGGACATCAGAGTCTATTGAGGAAAATTAAGGCACATGAATAGGAGGAAAAAATTTTTCCTGGAAAGAGGAATGGTTGATAGATAGGCAGCAGAGAGTTTGCATAAATGGGGAGGCATCAGAGTATAGGGCGTGTCACGAGCGGTGTTCCACAGGGTAAGTGTTGGGCCCCTTATTGTTCACAATTTACATAAATGACATAGATGAGTGATTAACTAGCAACATAAGCAAGTTTGCCGATGACACCAAATTAGGCTGTCGAATTCATTCTGACGAGGACATTAGAGAACTTCAAAAAGACTTGAATAGACTGATGCAGTGGTCGGATAAGTGGCAGATAAAGTTCAATATAAATAAATGCAAAGCTCTGAGCGTTGGACAGGAAAATAACCATGCCACATGTAAACTAAATAATGTAGATCTTAGTATTACTAATTGTGAAAAGGATTTGAGAGTTCCGGTTGGAAGTAATTTAAAACCAAGACAACAGTGCATGAGTGTTCGCAATAAAGCAAACAAAATTCTTGGCTTCATATCAAGGAGCATAAACAATAGGAGTCCTCAGGTTGTTCTTCAACTCGATATAATTTTGGTTAGGCCTCACTGAGAGTATGCTGCACAGTTCTGGTCACCGTCTTTCAGAATGGATATAAATGCCTGGAAAACATACAAAGAAGAATGACAAAGAATGTAGATGAATGGTTCAGAGAACCGACAAGTTGATAAATTAGACACATTCATCAATGTGATACCACCTGCGACTGCTGCACCTCTCTTACCTACAGTATATAAGCCACTTTTTCACACATATGCTGTATTCTTTTCAAGATTGATAGACTGATCACATCGAATCAGGGCTGAGGGACTGATTACCTCAAACTCCTCCTGTTCTTCACCATTCTCCTTTGTATGGATTGATGAAGCCTCTGTGTGGTGAAACGTTTCCTCATTAAAGATACCCAAATGTTACACATGTGTCTAATTTATCAAGAATGACAAAGTTGATCCCATGTATCAGAAATCTTTCCAATGAAGATAGACTTAAAAAACGTAGAATTAGGGGGGGATATGATTGAGGTGTATAAATGGAAAACAGGAATAAATAAAGGGAACGTAAATAATATGCTAAAAATATCTAGCCAAGACAGGACTCGCAGCAATGGTTGTAAGTTGGAAAAATTTAGATTCAGGAAGGATATAGGAAAGCACTAGTTTGGTAATAGAGTTGTGGATGAGTGGAACAAACTCCCGAGTACAGTTATAGAAGGTAAAACGTTGTGTAGTTTTAAAAATAGGTTAGATAAATACATGAGTGGGTGTGGGTGGGTGTGACCTGACTTGAATTGGATGGGTCAGTGGATTAAGCCAGTAAGTGACTTGGACTTGCCTTGCATGGGCCAGTAGGCCTGCTGCAGTGTTCTTTATTTCTTATGTTCTTATTAACCATCTTGTAGCTGATAGGTTTGAAACCTAATAAATTAGCCAAAATAGCATTAATTTTACTGTTTACACATCAGTTATATTATCTATCATGGCAGCCTGAGCAAAATGAAGCAGAGAGGGGCCGTTAATCCTGAAAAAGTATACTCTAGTCAAAATTCTAGGGATGGTGGGGGAAGCATTCACCCTCCCCTC